CTTGATGTGTCATGCTAACACTTATGCTATACCTCAGTTCTTTCTGGTTGGTTCTAGACTTCTAAAATCTGAATGCATTGTTTATTCTGTCTCGTTTTGTTGACTGTACTGACTCTCCATGTGTAATATGCCTTGAGTCCCTGTGAGAAAGACAGACTATAAATAAAACTAAATAAATAAACACACTCCATCTTTCTCCACAATGGGGATCCAAAGCAGCTTACACCATTTTCTTCCATTTTTGCTTCACAACAAACATGTGAGGTAGGTTAGGCTGAAAGTATATGAGTAGCCCAAGGTCACCCAGTGGCAGAGAGGGTATTGGAACATGGGCCTCCCAGTACTTGTCTGAAACTATAACCACTACACTGGCTTTCATGTGGTGGCTGCTACAGCTGCTCCTTCTATTATTTTGGTTTATTAAAAAAGCCCCCCCCCCACCCCCCCCCGGATTTCAGATTTTTCTGGTTCTGATTTCAGGTTTGTAGAAAGATCTGGTATTCATGCCCCAATCTCCAGATTTAAGCATCCACAAATGGGGTCATGTTGAGAATTAGATATATTGATTAGTTTCTTAAAATGTAAATGCACCACTACACCACATGATAGCCACATGATCTAATCTAGATGTGGGTTGTGTGTTATTCCCTCCATTAAAATGCTGTGTAAATGTAAGACAGCATTAACTAACTGCTTAGTAGGGTTGCCATCCTCCAGGCAGGGCCTGAAGTTTTCCTGAAATTCCAACTGATCCCCAGACTACAGTTCCTCTGGAGAAAATTTTAGATTTAGATTTTAGAGAAAATGGCAGATTTTGAGGATAGACTCTATGGAATCACATCTTGCTTAACTCCTTCCTGTCCTCAAACTCCACTCTCCCCAGGCTCTGCCCCTGAAGAAACTTTCTAGGCTGTCTGATTGTAAAAATAATTATGCTCAAACTAGTTTACCACAAAAGATAAATCAATGTATCTATAAAACCTCTAAAAGCAACAGCACATCAGAAGCTATCAATGCCCAGGGATCATGCTATTCAAAGGCCATTCAAAACAAATAACAGTGGTTTTCAGCTCATGCTAGTTGTGTACAAAAGGGGATTTCAGTAGGTCTCTCTTGCCGTGGCAGTGCATGTAGATGTTAGGTTTTATGGATCTGTACTTTTAGATTGGAGTTGCGGTGGCTCAAGTGGTTAAGACGCTGAACTGCAGGCTGTGGAAGGTCAGTAGTTCAGCAGTTCCAGACCCGGGTGCCGCATGATGGAGTGAGCTCCCATCTCTAGTTCCAGCTCCTGCCAACCTAGCAGTTTGAAAGCAAGAAATTGCAAGTAGATAAATAGGTACCACTTCGGTGGGAAGGTAACAGCATTCCGTGCGCCTTGGTGTTTAGTCATGCCGACCACATGACCACGGAAATGTCTTCGGACAGCGCTGGCTCTTCGGCTTTGAAACAGAGATGAGCACCGCAACCCTAGAGTCGGATTCGACTGGCTTTCGAGCAAGGGAACCTTTACCTTTACCTTACTTTTAGATTATTTATTGTATTTTATATGTTGTATTGTATTTTATATGAACTTGTTGTGCACCACCCTGAGCCCACTTGCAGGGAGAGTGGTATAGAAGCATAATCTAATAAATAAATAAATAAAGGATGAGAAAAGCTGCACCTGCCAACATCCCCTATTAAACCCACAGACCCCTCCCCCTCATGCATCGAGTCACACAATCACACAGAGGATACTTTTATATTTTTACTAATTCCAGAAAGCTGTATTGTCACATTAAGAAGAAGAAAGCAGTTCTTTTAAAATTTTAACACAGTGTTTTCTCTAACATTCACATGCTTTGTGTGTCATTAATCTGATAATTTTGGGGAATACTAGAAACTGAGAATAAGTATAACCTATTCTGGAGTTCCTAGAAAATAGCTTTCTAAAAAAATTATTTCTGCATCTTTAAATCTCTCCCCTCTTCATTTTATAAAAGAATTTCAAATATTACTGTGGGTTTTTTTAACAGATTGATACTAACAAGAGTAAGATTCTATATTTACCCTTTGGCTAGCCCAGGGAGCAAAGATCACTGCTATACTTGGACTCCCACATGGCAAGTCTTGTGCTACCAGCTGAAACTACAGACTGGTGACTCAGCCAGTAGCATTATGACAAAATATACAGAAATATTTCAAATCACATTAATATAAAACTCCCCACACTTGAGTCTTTTTCATTTGTACACTCATGATTATCAGCAGGTTTTCCACCTAATAGTCCTGACTGGTCATTTATCAAAGTCCCTTCCTGCATATATAATAACATGTGTATTATTTTAAATATAAATGCTTCAAAATATTGTGAAAGCCCTTTAGCAGCCAGCCTAGTGGCATATGGTGGCTTTGCATTTCCACATGCAAGAGCTATCACTGGTACAAACCAGTCATGTCATATGATAGCTAGCTGCAGTATGGCACTTCATAACTTGTTATCTGAGCTCGAGCTGAAGAAACAGAAGGTAAAATATTTAAAGGTTAAAGCAAACAGAAAATGTCCAGAATAGTCCCCGGGATGGTAAATGGAATGAGAATAGTACAACACTCGACTACATGGTTTGGGATTACAGTCTTTAGCTGTGACCTGAACTCAGCTCCAGCATAAATTAGGTTAATTTGCTTCCAATAGTACAGGCTGCTGTAAACTGATTTCACTAGACCACAACATGCATTAGTTTCTCAGAAAATTGCCCTGATCCATCCAGGACAGCTTTTGCATGCACAACAGACACTATGTGCACACGGAGTTCCCATGTATGCACAATCTTCAGTTTGGTGAAGAGAGGCATTCTTTGCATCTGAGCACACAAAGAAATCTGGAGCAGAGACAATAGCTCCACAATTTGAAAAAAACACTGTCCTGCTTCCATCCCTTCTTATTTACTACAGCTCTTAAAGGCTTTCGGTAAACTGGCAATTTTGAAGTTGGCTTTTCCTTTAGCTTGAATAAAAACTAGAAAAAAATGTGATGAATTTAAGTTGGCACACAAATTAGTTCACTAGTTGCTGGCTGACAGCCTTTCCATATGGTGTCCACACAGACAGTTTCAAAAGGGTCTTGTGATGACAGTATAATGAAAAATAACAATCTAGCAATGAATGTAAAAGGTGATATTTGACAGATTCAATAGCATGGTACTTTTTCTTGTATGTAAAGATAGAACTAACTGCTATTAATACAGGGGTCATTTGGGGGGGGACGCCATCCCCCCGGGTGAGGTGCGGGAGGGCGGGGCCTGGAGCTCCCTGCTGGTGCCCGCCGCCGGCTGTGGGGAGGACACACTTCCGGTGATGTCAGGGGGTGTGGCATATGCTAATGAGTTATGCTAATGAGTCCCCCTAGCTCTTTTTCTATGAAATGACCCCTGTATTAATATATTTCAACACAGCAACCACCTTGTGGTCTGCTCATGTGGCATACTCAGTATGATGGCAAAATGGAAAGAGGTATTAGTGCCACAGGTCTGTACCAAGCTTTTAAAAAATTACAGGAAGACATTATGGGCTTGTGATTTTTTTTCCCTGGAGCGTTAGAGTACTGAAGGGCAGGCAACCAAGGGAGCTGTGATGTCATTAATCTCCCCCTGCAATGTGACACAACAAAAGAGTGTTGGTGGCTGTGCTTTAAGTAGGAGAACATGGGTCAACAGTGAGGCAATACAGGCTTGGCACTCTGAATTTAGTGTGTTTCCAATTCCCAGCATCCTCCCCAGATTGCAGTTTGCAAGGATTTCATGGCGAATTTACAGAAGAACTTACAGATGTATGGGACTATTCAGTGTTATGAGGAAAGACACTCTACACATGTTCATCACAGTCATAATGATGTTATTGTTATTACACATGTTCTAAATTTGGAGCATGGCACAGAGAATAGTTTTCAGAGTTTAGCATTCTCTGACCTACAATAATCTTTGCAGCTCAAGCCTAATCATGTTTATTCAGAAGTAAATCCCATTAAATGGCCAGTGAACTGGACAGTTTCACATTCTTTTTATAAGTTTGTCAGTTTGTAATGTGATAAATTGGTGACATTTGTTAGTACACCTCAAGATGCAAATCTATGGGCCTCATTCCCTCCGGGATGGTAAACCTGTATCTGGGGTCTTATGAGCAAATGCTTCCCATAAATATTTTCTGCACATGGAAAACAATCATGTGAGGGGAAACCTGGACTGTCAAGTAACCATCAAAATAAACTGCCTAGCATCCTTTTTATTTATTTTACAAAATTTATACCCTGCCTTTCTCCTAACATTAATTACATGCATTTTAGTTGATTAATTCACTCATTAAATATGCATATTAGAAAACAATTCCATTGATTTTTTTAAGAGGATGTAGGCATGTGCCATTGTAGGTATTTTTTTGGGGGGAAAGTCATTCTACTCTTCACCAAACAGGAGGGAAAGTCTTTTCTAAGACAGCAATTGTAATGTGTGGCTTTATAACGATAAACATTTATAGAGGACTCTCAAGCATTCAGAGCACATCTATTACCTGCCGTAAATTAAATAATCTTGTAAAGTTAGTGTCCCCATATTTCAGTTGAGGTTGAAAGTGGCTTTACCTGAGGCCGTGAGTCTAAGCAGCCCTAGTTGCCACCGGCTTGTCGGTATACCTGTGGCTGTTAAAGACAACGTTAGCTCAGCGCTCAAATGGGTAAAAGCGTACAATACAATGCAATAGAGTCATTTTTTCCCAGCCGCAGACACAGGACACCAGCCTGCAAGCTGGGAGGCCCGTTCACGGCCGCGTTTTGCGTTTCCAGGACGACCCCTAACGCGACCCCTGCCCCTGTTTCCAAGAGAGCTGAGAGGGCTTCGGGGACCGTAATTAGTTGCAACGGAGCTCCCTCTGCAGTCACAGCTGTTGGTGTTTACACGGAGGCCACCACTCACCCTCCCGCCCCACTCTCGGTCTCCAAACAGCCGGGGGGCGGGACGGGACAGCCGAGGCTGGCGAAGGGAGCGGCCCTCGCTGGGACTTAGTTTCCTTCGCCGCTTCCTGCTCCTCCTCCTCCTCTAGCTTCTTTTGCTATCGCGTCAGCTTGCTGCGTCTCCGGGCGAAGCAGTAGCCCCACGCGGTGAGTGAGGAGGCAGGAAACAGAGGCGGGAGGTCGGGCTGAGGCGGGCCCAAGCCTAAGCCTGGAGGTCTCGGGAGGACTCTGTGGCGGGGAGCGCGCCTCCGTATTTTGCAGGGCATGGCGGAAGCTGGAGTTTTAGTCGCGTTGGCTCTTGGGCGTATCTCTTGGGAACGGCGGGACCTTTCGGGGAGTGTTTTTGCGACCCTTGTATAGTCGGCTGTGGCTCAGCAGCCGTTTTGGCCTGCAGAGGGCAGAGCTTTCTAGTCACTCGGGACTGTCGCTTAGGCCCTGGCCTACGAGGCTCGGAGGCTGCTTGAACCACCCTCAGTGTGGCCTTCTTGTATCACGGCCTAAGCAGGCAGCCTGCGGAGGACGGATATGGGATGTGATGCCGCCTTATGGGTTTCTGCTTGGCCTGTGGATGGATGGGGCGGAGCTGGTAGGGAGGGTTCAGGGGTATGAACGGGAAGTATTTCGTCCAGGGGTCATTTCGTAGAAAAAGAGCTAGGGGAACTCATTAGCATAACTCATTAGCATATGCCACCCCCCCTGACATCACTGGAAGTGTGTCATAAGGCCACACACCCCGCCCCCAATGGTCCTGGCTGCCGGGGCTGGCGGTGGACCTGCAAGGCCGTGGGAGTGCCAGGAAGCCCCGTGAAGGCCCTCCCTGGCCCCAGGCAGGCAGGGGTGGGGAGAGGCAGGGAGGAAGCAACTTACCCTCCCTCTTCTCCTGCCTCCCCCTGGCTGAATGAGGGCCGGAAGTGGGGCAGCTGGAAGCAGAGGGCGGGGCTTCGTCATGTGCCCCGCCCCCCGTACCTCACCCGGGGGAACTGCGTTCCCCCGCGTTCCCCCCGAAATGACCTCAGTGTGAGCTCTCAGAAAGACCAGACGTGTGCGGGTAAATCTGTCTGTGTTGAGTTGTTTTGGGCTCTCAAGTAAGTATGTATGGCCTTTAAAGTAAGGCTGAATGAAGAACGTGGCACTTAATCCCAAATAAACCTGAGTACTGCTTGTACAAAGTAGCTCTGGGTCCCAGGACATGTAAAAAGAGGAGCTCTAATACAGAACAATAGGACATGAGCAGTCGAGTGGCATTTTAAAGAGTAAGAACATTTACAAGTGGGGAATGTACAAGGACTTGCAGACAGTGTTCCCTCTAAACTGAGTTAGTGTGAGCTAGCTCACAGTTTTTTAGCCTCCAGCTCACAAATTTTGGTCTTAGCTCAGGAAGGATGGCTCCAGAACAAACTAATTTATGTAGTAGCCAAATCACTTGCCCACAATTTTAATGCCAGCAGCTCACAAAGTAGAATTTTTGCTCACAAGACTCCACAGCTTAGAGGGAACATTGCAGAAGGCATTTTCCCTCCTCGCTATTTCTTTTTTCCTTCTATAAAAGCCCCCGTAGTCTCACCTCGTTAACTGCTTCCTTCTCACTTGCCAGCCAAACTACCTTCTTTTATTTGTTGCCCCCTGCCCATCTTAAGTTTTCCCTGCTTCCCTCTCCATGGCAGCTTCTCCCTAGAAAACTTTGCATGGTTCCCGGGGCTAGGCTGGGCCAGTTGTGTGGTGCTGCCCAGCACGCTCAGTTGCACAGTGGGAAACCTGCCAAGACTTTTGAGAGGGGCACCTCAGTTTCCCCTATATCCCACTTATCATCCTTCTTTCCTCCTGGCATTGATCCATCAGTCTACTTTTTATCTGCCCTACCAAACTGTAGTATTTATTTCGTTTGCACCCCACCTTTCTCACAATGGGGCCCAAAGGAGTTTATGTGGTTTTCATCCATTTTATCTCACAACAGCCCCATGAGGTAGGTTAGGTTGAGCCCAAAGTCACCCAGTAAGCACCATGGCAGAGTGGGGATTTGAACCTGGGTTTCCCAGATCCTAATCTGAAGCTCTAACCATTAGACAGCACTGGCTTTTGTGGGGTTGCTTTTTTGGGGGCCAGGGTGAGTTATGTAAATCTCTTGGTATGAAGTTGCCTAGTAGTTGCTGCCAGCTCTGGCCCCAGTGAGTCATTCTTCAAAGGCCAAAACAGCCCTGGAAAGGGCGCTGCTCCTCTCCTTTTTTAGTGACAGAAACCAAGGCTTGAAGGCTGGCAGTACTGTTGGGTTGCCTAGCAATGGCTACTGAGTGCATTTGTTTCTAAAATCTATAGGCACTACTTCTATTACTTTGAGTGTTTGTAATTTCCAACTTTATTTTTATAGATTTCAGGTTTTCCTGCAAACCAGGGACTTTTCTCAGGTTTGTAGAAAGAACTGTTTTGTCTGTTCATGGATCTAGTCACCTGATTTAAGTATCCACATATGGGGCTATGTTGAGTATTAGATATATCCATAAACTTTGTGAGTCAGGAGGACTCAATTCACTGGGTTCAGGTTGTTAGTATACTGGTGGTATAAGAAACAAAATTGGTAAATCGGGCTGTTTTGGTCTACCTTCTGTTGATTTAGGTTTATGTAAGCTATCAGATAACATAAAATCTAGTTATCAGACAAATCTGATTAGGAAGGAAATGTAGCTTTAAAAACTGAAATTGCTAGAAGCAGTAGTGCAGGACTAATTGTAAGCTCAGTGTTCAGATTTAGAATTTCACCAATAATTTGGGTGCCACATTTAAGATTCCTAAAATCTACAAATTAATTCCTGATTTGGCAAATAGTTCAAGATTATTTCTGTCTTTCAGCTATTTGAGTTCAGTGATTTCAAATTGTAAAATTCAATAACCTTTGAATGTCTAGTTTACTTTGTTTTATGTTCCTGAGCAACTTCTTGCGCTAGCTGTTCTTCATTGGGCTTAGCCAAAACAGAATAGAAAGCATCACCATAATTATTTGGTCTTTGTCTCTTGCATGTTTACTAGAAGTAAGTTCTTCTGATTTTATTGGCATTACCCTTAAATATGCATGCCTGGGTTTGCAGCCTGAGGTTTTTTGTTCTGTGTATTTACTAGGGTTGCTGACTAGTACCACTCTTTATTGAGTTGACATGCTAACACAGCCTAAACTACCCCAACTAATGTAATATACAAGCTGTCGACACTGTTGGTCCTGGGATCTGAAGAACATCTCTCAGGGAGGTGTTGCATTAAACAATAGTCGAAACTCTACATACAAGTCTTAGTTATCAAGGGATGCAACAGTATATAAAGACACCAAGTGTAATCCTAAATGAAGTTAAAGTATTTACTCAAATGCAAGACTTTTCACAGGTATGTGATAAAAAGAGGGGGCTGTCTTACATTTGCATCCAAATTGTTATTAACAACAATACATTTTTTGGGTGTGTGTTGCATTTTTAAAGGCATCATCATACATTAACAGTCATCTTCCTTTTGAGCAAATACAGTTCGCCTTTCTAAGTTTGTGGAAGCCTAAGTCTTAGAAGCATGTCTCTTTAGGACTGGACTGTGAGTCTTCTATCCACAGTATTCCTGTGAATTATTTTCCATCAGGTGACAAAAAGGTTGACAGAAAGGCTGCATATTATGCATATTAGTATTTCTGCTTGATTATATGTTGCCATTTCACTGTATGTCAAAAAAATTCCATTGATTCTCTTATCATTTCATTTTTTCATGCATTGTTCACATTTTTATTCCCATGTATCCCAAACCTTTTCAGATGAGGGATTTTAAGGGCATCTGTCCTTTCAGCATGTATTGCAACAGTAAATAGTGATCATTTCCTTGAGATACATGTATGATATTATTCTCAGGAAAATTCAGTAAGAACTCTAGAGTGTTGTCTGTTCACTCATCACCTGTTATTTCCTGTACTGTACACACATTTCCAAAGCGTTCTGATTTGGTGATATACCCACAATCATCTCCAGTTTTTCAGTTAGAGTTTACTGATTTTAAATAGTGTGTATTTAGAATTAAGCTTTAGATCAAGTAGTTCAGAACAACTACACATTACCTGTATTCATGCTCATTATATTGTGACCTCATATGCAAATATCCATTAAAAGAGGGGGAAAGTCTAGCTTTTTACATGGTTACTTCTTAATTTCAGAATATATGTTCTGTCTACAAAAGCTCTCACAGTAAGTTTATCGCATAAAATACATAGGATAGTTACAGAACCATGCTAAGCAGAATTACATCTTTGTTCATTTCTACTGTAACTTCTGTAGAGAGACATTTCAGAAATACACTACTGAAGCAAGATTATAAATTCATATTTAAATCTTATGGTAAGTAGCATTTAAACATGTAAGAGCTAGAGAGCAATTTAAATAAAAAGTTAAATTGACAGCTGAAACAACAAGTGGAAATCATGCATTATCTTTGCTAATGTTTCTGGTTTACATGCTGTGACCTGGATAGCCTAGGTTAGCCTGATCTTGTCAGGTCTTGGAAACCCTGGTTAGTATTTGCATGGGAGACCACCAAGGAAGTCTAGAGTTGGTACACAGAGGCAAACCATCTCTGAACGCCTCTTGCCTTGAAAACCCTACAGGGTCACCATACGTTGGTTGCAACTTGATGGCAAAAAAAGAGAGGTTTACATAAGCAATAGTTAGTGGATGATTGAGAGTTACATTTCTCTTAAGTATTTGGTAACATTTCTCTTTAAGTATTTGGTAATTATCACTCCAAAATACAAGGTACAGATTAATAGAGCATTTGTTTGATTTATTAGCACTTTCTTTTGTTTCTAGATAATTTGAGAATACATAAATCACCTTAGTAGTTTAGACTAAGGTACATATTGTCCAGCATTGTGTTTCCAATAGTGGCTAATCACATGCATACTCACAAGCAGGACTTGAAAGTGAGACATCCCTCCCATTGTTTGGTTCTTCTCCTCCTTCTTATTATTGCTATTCTGTCTAGCCACTATTTAATTTAATCAAATATTTGATTTTTTTGTCAGGATTTTCAAAACATTCATTTTTATATGCTGTTCGTATATCTTTCTTTAACTGAATAGGTAATTTGCCTGCTATGCCATTTCAGTTAATTCTATCCAGCGTAACTGGCAG